TCCCCACAATGTAATATAAACATAATACACACACACACACATTTCTCTCTCTCTCTCCCTCCCTCCCCGCGGGCTCAGGGTCCCGCTCACCTGGCCGCCGGCCACTGGCACCCCCACAGTCACTCCGGCAATCCTGGCGCCAGCTTGGGTCCAGGCTCCCTCCTCCCCTCCCACACGACCTGGCCGCCCATCCGCCCGCCCACTCCGCCGGCTGACTCACCCTCTCGGCGACCGCGGGCTGCTCCTTCAGCAGACCTCTCATCCTCCTCTGAGGTCTGCCGCAGGGATAATTAAGCCCAGGTGCCTTTTCCGTTAAAGCGGCGGCTCAGAGGACGGCACGTGGTCAGCAGGCGCGATATGGCGCAAATCGACGCTCGCGGCTTCACGTCAGTCTGCAGGCCGCCCCAGAGGTCCAGCGCAGCCTGTGACGGTACCCCTCATGGCCGCTGCACCCTGAGCCTGAACGCGCTCGTGGCTGAGAAGGGGAAGAGTTAACCGGGGAGGGGGGGGGGGCGGAACTCGCTGCCAAGGATTTTTCCCCTCGGCCTTGAGCACTTTGAAGGTTTTCTTAAAGGCAGAAGAGGACAAACCCGGAGTGATTCTTTTCATTGTGGCCAGATGCTGGTAGTTTTCGTCTGAACTGTTACTGCTCCCAGAAAGTATGTGAGGAAACGGGAAACAGCTTCCAGATGGGCCCTCGCTCACTGCGGTCTGTAGGCAAGCGAGCAGGAGTCGAAATTTAGCAACCCCCCCCCCCCCCCCCCGCCACACACACACACACACACACAAACTGACTGTATGGTGTAAACCGCCTTCACACACCTGGGTAACTCGGCCGATGTAAACATACAGACACACAGACAGACTGACTGTATGGTGTAAACCGCGTCACACACCCCTGGGTAACTCGGCCGATGTAAACATACGGACACACAGACGGACTGACTGTATGGTGTAAACCACCGTCACGCATCCCTGGGTAACTCGGCCGATATAAACACACACATACACACACACACACACACACAGACACCTGAAAATCCAGTCAGAAATGACAAATTTAAAAAGCGACAGAATACTCTTTAACACACTCATTTCTCCCACAGTTGCATTCCGGGTAGCTGCACGATGGCACCTTTCGCACCCAGGATATTAATCCCGCTGGGCTCCCCCAGTATTCCAGTGTCTCTTCCGGACGGGAAACCCGGCCTCTCTGTCTGACCTCAGGCTCGAGAGCAGGGTGTCCAGCCTGTCAGTGCCCGAGAAACATTCCCACTGGGATCAAAGCTGGGAATTGGCTGGTGCCTGTGCAGGTCCTGGGGCTCGACAGCTGACCAGCTACACGGATAACGAGAGGCTCAACAAGCAGAGAGTGGTGATAACATTTGCAAAGGTCGTAAGTTCAAATCCCAGGAAGCACACGTAGATAGCAACCCTCCACTCTAGTGTAAGTTGGATAAATGAGTAAAATCGAAATACCAAAGGCCAGCAATGAGGGGGCCCCTCCACCCCACAGAGCTGCGCTGCCACAAGCGTCGCCCCCCAGACTGGACTCAAGCCCTTCCAGCTCCATTCAAAGGTATAACAGCAGGTCTGCATTCAAGATACCGCTTGGGCGCCATGCACAGACAAAATATCTATCTATGCAGAAGTGGAGAGAGTAACTGGGAAAGTCAAATACTGGGAAAGCCCCCCACCCCATGATACACACAGCCCTGTGGCCAAGCCAGCCCCCCCCCCCTTACTTACATACAATCCCACACCCAGAACACACAGCTGGTTTTCACTGAATCACAAGAAGTGTCTAAACCTTAGAGCCCCCCAGGCCACTTGGAGGCGGACACTGTCAGTCACCCCATCATCTGGATCCTGCTGACTTATTCATTCCGGAGGCATCCATTTTTTTTCCCCCACTGTAGGCAGCCGCCCTGTTCAAAGCCCATAAAATATGCATGTCGGTCTGGAGCAAAGGGGGCGGGGGGGGGGGGGTTCCACCCGAAATTAACTATTTACAACACAGCCCCATCTGCTCCTGTTGGAGAGTGAGAGGGAGGCAGAAGAGGAGGGGGGCAGGACAGGTGTTTTCGTGCAGTTTGGAGATCTGATGCTCCATGCAACTTTTACCACCAGTGTGTGTTCCAGCAGAGGAGAATCAGACAGCAGACAGCCTGCATGTGGACTGGTCTGGTCCTGATCGGCAAAGATGCCTATTTAGGGACAAAGGGAGAGGGTACAGGAAGGAGGACACCGAGAGAGAAAGAGAGAGAAAGGAGGACTGGGGACAGAGAGGGAGAGAGAGAGAGAGAGAGAGAGAGAGAGCAAGGAGGATTGAAGACAGACAGACAAACAGAGAGGATGACTTCTATGTCCAACCCTGTTCCTCATCCTACTCAAGTCTGCCCCCTGTTGTTTGTCTGTTCCTTCACATTCTCGAGTTCAGAGGTTACAGCCCTTATGCTTGATAGCAGCCCTGTACTTCCTTTAATGCATTATTAAAGTGCAAGGAGCTCAAAGGCAGAGTTAAGATGTGGATTGTGCGGGGAGGGGGTGGGCCTGGGGTGGAGGTGAAGTTCTGGCCCTGGGCAAAGATGTTCAAAAGAAGTGCGCACTGCACATGAATAATGCACACCTGTGGGTGTGCGTGCGGATCTGGGAGCTGCTGGGGAGAGTGCGTGTAAATCTAGCTGCTCTCTCTAAGCTTCACTCATCTCCAGACCATACAGTGACAGGAAGGGGAGCAGAGGGACGGAATCTGACAGATACACAGAGCCCAAAGCTGACACTCAACCCAGGCCAAAGCACAGTGACAGGAAGTAGCAACAGTCCCCCAGAGAAGTGGGCTTTGTGGTCGTGTTAAGGTCAGGAGTATACTTTGCCTCGTATACTTTGCAAGATAGAATCCCCCACTTTGAGTGGTTGAATTATGCTCAGCACACCTAGCTTGTTAATTTAGACAGCATGTAAGGATGTGGCTGCCGTTAGCGCCTTAGCATCCCCTGTTTAGCACCCACATACCAGCACGCAATCTACTGCATAATGGTAAGCAGCCTATGCCTCTGACAGGCTGCCAGACAGCGAGCGGCGGCCCCACTACGCAGACAGAGGCACACGGTGAGCCGGATCCGGCCTGGTCCAGCCACGTCCGCTTTTGGCGGAACGGGCGAAAAACAACATTTGTTGTGGCGAGAGGGGAACCAAAATGCACAGGATTCGGGAGTGGGGGAGAGTTCATGGTGAGGTGAGAGCCTTTTACGCACCTCCACCCCCTCCCCACACACACACACACACACACACACACACACACACACAGTGCTTCGTCCCAGGCGGGGAAGAACCACTTCACTTAAAAACCTGTCACCACGGTGATGTCATCAATTATTGATGCCTGCCGGAACACAGCTCCTGTGTGGGTCTGCATGCCCACAAACACACACACACACACACACACACACATGCATGCCCACAAACACACACACACACACACTCACGCACACACGCATGCACACACACACACGCACACACACACACAGTCGTGTAAACATATCTTTGTGGGGACCGCTCATTCATTTCTGTGGGAAAAATGCTAACGCTAACTATGACAACCTTAACCCCCACCCAGCCCTAAACATAGCCATAAGCATAACCAAGCAAAATACAATAGTTTTTGCAGTTTTAGTTTTTTCATTGAAGTGAAAGATTTTTATTAAATTGAGGGAAACTGGTCCCCATAAGGGAAAAAAAATTCATCACGTCGTGAGGACATTGTGTCCCCATAAGATAAGGTATACCCGCTTGCATACACACACAGACACAGGCACGCACACACACACATGCACACCCCCTATAAGCCCGCTGTGAGTGGACAGTGTTGCCTCCAGCTGGTGTGCTTACGCAGTCCAAACTGGACACCTTCACCAACATCCCCCCCCCTTCCATAATAGCCTATAGTCTTCACAGTCTCTAACCGTGTTACCAATTTTCTCTCCAACATCCTAAGGATCATCAAAACCGGCAAAAAAAAAAAAAACAGCAGCCAAAGATGTATATTTATACAGGATCACACAACATGTTCTGGAGCCCCCTGCACTGGCAACATGCAGTCTTTGTTTTGGACAAAGACCTGAGAGTTTGAAGTCAGGGGTCCTAGCAGCTGACGCAACTCGATGGACGTGTGTCACGCTCCGTTCGGATGGAGCGCCACCTGCAGGCTCTCGGCGGCGCCGAGCAGAGCCGCTCTGAAGACAGCCGACGCAGCGGAGCAGAATGGCACTTCAGCCCACACACAGACACTCGTCGGGACACATTTCTGGGTGATGTCCTGCTTTTCTCCCTGCATGTTTAGCAAAAGCATCTCCTGGCCAGAAGCCTACTGAAGTATGTGCAGCACAGAACAGCAGAAAACGCAGCGGAGACCTGGTCACCTCCGAGCTGGGGGTGTTGCAGGTGAAAATCAGCATGATGGGGGGTGGGTGGGTGTAAAGCACACAGCACACAGTGTCCTGAGGAAATGAGTAACTAGCAGGAAAACTAGAGGCTATGCAAATTACAGTATGCAAAGGAAATGCCAGCAACCTAATTAGGTACATTTTAATTGAGCAGTCAGGAAACTCATTGTATGTCTATCTCAGGAGAGTGAAATCCATCAGACTGGAGTGAGCAAGGACAGGCAAAATGGACAGGGAGAAAAACGTTTTCCGGAAATGGGACTGGCAAGCAAGCAGACAGCTGAGAGAACACTGGATTGATGTTCTCAATCTGATCTCTCAGGGTGAAGAGTGTCTTCAGTATATTGGGGCTCATAATCAGAAAAATCATCCCACCCTCAATACAAATTATATTTATTTACATTTACATAGCCTGGCCACTAGGGGGCCAGTCACAAGCAACCTCTACCAAAAAAAAAATTTAAAAATTAAAAACCCAGGGACATGACAGAAATTTAGCGGGATGTGTCAAATCGCCATGGAAACTGCTCGCGGGGCAGATGAGGCATGACCTACCTCCACAGGGAGCTTTCTAGCACCTTTGTAGAATCCGCATGGTAGTACTTGGTGAGGATGAGGATGACCTGGGGGCACAAGGCATGAAGAGATAAGTCAGGGTGAGAATCCATCCTAGGGACGCACACATGAGTGTAAATTACAGAGAGATGAAGGGGGGGGGGGGGGGGTTGTAACCCCCCAATAATCAAAACCAGCCAATACAATCCCCTGGGCCCCCTAAAATGGGTGGAGACCTCAAACCCCCCCCAGTGCCCAACCCAAAGCTATGCCCTTGGACACACATATGCATGACCCCCCATTGGACATAACAGAACATATAGACTGAGGGTATGGAAGAGAATCTCTTACAAACTTCACTCAGAGATCATCTCTAAAACAAACTTTGCCTTCTGCCATCCAGAAAAGGCAAAAAGTTGATTGTGCAAAAGACGGCTACTTGTTAAACGGCAATTAATTACGCAATTAGCACACAATTAAAGACAGCAACACAAAAGGTGGCCCAACATCACTGTGCTTTTCCCGAGCTTAATGATGCCTGATATTTCAGAGCAGGAGGAGGACGACAATAAATTCATTTTATACTCAAAATGCCAAATTAGGTCTTTCCAAAGTAAGATGATTAAAAACAAATGAGCACTCAGACCCAGCCATCACAAACAGGCACTGACAGACAGGCAAGGAGCCTGTAATTTCATTTCCATAACATATGCCCTGATGTATTCCTAAGACAAGGGCGCAAAGGAGAGAGGCCCCAGTGCCTGGATCTCTGGCATGGAGACCCTCAGAACCCTGGGACTTCACTAGGATATCAACAGCTTTCTGGCCCCTGCTGGGGCATACAGGGCTAAACCCACATGTGATGCAGAGGGAGAGCAAGGCCCGAGACCAGGCCCGGGTGAACCAAACGATCGGACCAGGGCGTGCAGTTCTGGAAGGACGAACAATCACATTAAGACCAGGACTAGCTGTGTGTCCTCGTAGAGACCGGCTGCACGTCCTCGTAGCGACCGGCTGCACGTCCTCGTAGCGACCGGCTGCACGTCCTCGTAGCGACCGGCTGCACGTCCTCGTAGCGACCGGCTATGCGTTCTCGTGTCCTTGTAGTGATTGTCTATGTGTCCTCATAGTGACCAGCTGTGTGTCCTCGTGTCCTTGTAGTGATTGTCTATGTGTCCTCATAGCGACCGGCTGTGTGTCCTCGTGTCGTTGTAGTGATTGTCTGTGTCCTCGTAGTGACTGGCTTTGTTTCCTCATGTCTTTGGAGCGACCGATTGTGGGTCCTCATAGCGACCGGCTGTGTGTCCTCGTGTCTTTGTAGCGATTATCTGTGCGTCCTCATAGTGACCGGCTGTGTGTCCTCGTGTCTTTGTAGCGATTGTCTGTGTATACTCATAGTGACCGGCTGTGTGTCCTCGTGTCTTTGTAGCGATTGTCTGTGTATACTCGTAGTGACTGGCTGTGTGTCCTCGTGTCTTTGTAGTGACCGGTTGTGGGTCCTCATAGCGACCGGTTGTGTGTCCTCGTGTCCTTGTAGTGATTGTCTGTGTGTCCTCATAGCGACCGGCTGTGTGTCCTGTTAGCGACCGGCTGTGTGTCCTGTTAGCGACCGGCTGTGTGTCCTGTTAGCGACCGGCTGTGTCTCCTTGTAGCTTAATGGCCCGGTGCAGCCCAGCTCTTAATGCTCACAGGCCAAGCAGGCAAACAAAACAGCAGCCGTCAATGCAAAACATCATCGGCGGTCCCACCCCGTCAGTGACGGATGTGGGGCAGAGATTGCGGTGCTTGTTTGGCACATGAGGAAAGACTATCATCTTACACAAATAGCTGTCTAGTTCACTACTTAGATTTCAGGTTAAATATTTACCCCTACTCCCCTTTGCATAACAATCAGACATGCTCAGAAGAACACAAGCAAACAGTTTTAGAGATGACAGGGACTTAGCAACCCACAGCGTGTTTCTGCTTGATATGGGGGGGGGGGGGGGACACTACAGTGAGACGGAGCCCACAGAGGCAAAGAGTGCGCTAATCCATTATTCATCTCCAAAGATGCTACAGAGCCCCCCCTTTGGGTACAGGGACTGCTGCGTTCCTCACGCCTACACCTCCTGCTATGACTTTCGCTGTGGCCACATGACTTGGGGCTGTACCAAGGCTTGTGTGTGTGTGTGTGTGGGGGGGTAAAGCCCTGTGTGTACTATGCAGCCAGAACCACTGATGGGGTTGGGGGGGGGGGACTAAAGGCTAATTGGGAGAGACAGCTGAGGCTAAAAGCACTAATAGCCAATTTGGGACAGCGATGAAAGTTGTGACATGTTATTTAATTTAGGATTAAAAAAATAACTTTCCAGGCAGTCAATAATTCTGAGGAGTTCGATCTAATAACCATGACAAATGTTTCACCACGGAAAAGGCTGGCATGGTTCAGCGGACGGGATTACTCTTCCAAACTGAATATTTACACTGGTGGGTTAAACGAGCCTCTTTAAAATCGCTAAAGCTGGCAACATTCTGGCAATACGCTTGCATTAAAATGCCACAAAGCTAGATGACCGGGGCGTTAACGAAATCTCCCAACCCCCCCGCCCCCACCCAGCACCATAAACTCATGGTCAGTGCGAGAAACAGGTAGGGGGTCCTACAGGAGCTGACCTGACGTCCTCTCTCTAGAAACACAGACTGGCGCAGGAGAGACACCGAGGCAGGTGAGTGACCCCCCCGCTTTGAGGAGCCGCAGGCTGACAGGAGGGAGCTGGTGAACACTAAGCTTGCTAAGGGAGTCGTCGACTATCCAGACAGGGTGCAGCCATTCCAGATGCATCCATCATTACAGCCAAGCTTCTTTTTCAAGGGGTTCGATAAACGCACCAACGGTGTCCTGTGCCTGATCAAAACATCCGGCTTTGTTTTAAAGGTGGCGCGGGCCAGCAAGGCTGGCGACGGCAGCATGGCCGAAGACAGAAAGGCGGGGCGAGATCTGCTCATGAGCCCAGACTGGCCAATCACAGGGGCTGCACAGTGGAGTAGCAGCAAGATGTCAACCAGGGGGGTCTTGTTTTGAGAGGGGAGAGCTGCCCGCTCCGTGGGCATTGGCTTCACAGCCATATCGGCAGGACTCTCTACCCTCACCCCCCTATATGGCATCGCCTTAAGGCAGGGTTTGGCCAATCTTATCCGCAAAGGGCCAGTGTGCATGCAGGTTTTTAGGATAAAAACCTTTAGGTCAGCTGTTCAAACCCAGATGTGAGGACTGTTCAGCCAATCAGTCCTCTAATTATTAATCTAATTAGGGTGTTGCAGCAAAAACCCGCACACACAGCGGCGCTTTCTGGATTGAAAGACTTCCCACCCCTGCCTTAAGGGATCCAGATTTTAACATACAGGTTTCTCTGTAACACAAGGTGCGGTGGCTTACTTGGGGATTCAAACACACAGCTTTCCGGTGGCAAATCCACAGCACACACACGCCTTAACACAGGCGTGTGGAGGAACCCATGTCATATACCAGCAATGCTTGGATGCTGCTGCAGAGATTATTGTTGGGGAAGGGGGGGGGTGTTGAGCGTCTTGAGAGGGCCCCACCCCAACGCAAGGGGAATCAGGAGGGGGTACAGTGGGACTCCAGCAATAATCACCAGTCAGTGGGGTGGGGGGGGGATAGGGATGCTGAATGTGGACGACTAGCATGTGACCCAAAGTGACCAGAAGCAGAGGACCACACACACACGCGGCACCACAGCACAAGAGTAATTGCTTCCTGCAGCCTGCTTTTCATTAAGAAGACAGATTTGATTCCGAAAGGCCTGTCTCAGTCACGCAAGAGGCCTCCTTAGGTGCAGTGGAACGTATCTGGTTAAATCAGCACCTAACACACCCCACACCCAGGGGTGCGGAACAGACTGGTACTCCTCCACTAGCTGGGCACGTCATCGATATCGAGCCTGAACTTCCACTCTAATCAGTCCAATATGAGACAATCTCTCAGGCCCAAAGATAAGTCCGGTCTTTGCAATTCAGTAGTTCCATCCAGGGGCATAGGAACCAGAGAGTCAGGGGTGATGTGCCCCCCCCCCCCCCCAATATTTAATTTGGATTAATTTATCCCCCCAGAAAACAGACCTTAATTTAAATTATTAGGTAGCGCCCCCTCAATATCAAATTCTCTCCTCTGTCATTGGTTCTAGTAACACCATTTGGATCTGTGACGGATCCATAAGGTGAATATAGTAAGAAACAGAAAGAAGTATTACAGTATTAAAGGCTATTAAAGCCATCAGGTTGTAAAGCGTGCAAAGCCGTTGGCCCCCAGGCCCCTCCGATCAGCCAGAGGTTCTCCTTAAAGCAGAAACCAGCCGGTAGGCCCCCCCGTCTTGCCGCAGGACGTCCTGCGTATCACAGATCCATGCACATCTGACTTGTGACGCAGCAAATGGCACCTTCAGAATTCTCTGCACACAGAATCAGGTCCAGGTCCTCCAAGGCTCATTCAGCACCCCAAGCACATTCCCAGTCCGCTCTCTCATTTTCTCTCTGCCTCCTAATTGTACTGACCGGTCAGAAGAACAGGGTACCGGGAACCCAAAGGAAATTAGAGAGGAGCTCCCAAAGCAGGGTGAGAGGAGATCTGCGGGACAAGGGGTGGCCGGGGGTGGGCCGGACCCCCAAAGAGAGATGCGTGGGAGGGAGGCAGCCCCCGTGCTGCGATGGGCCCTAAGGCTGATGCCATACCTTCACAGATAGAGCGATAGGGAGGGATACAGCAGCCAGTCGCCGGAAATAGGAGCGAGTGCAGCAGGCAGAGATATTTCAGGAGCGACTCCAGCCAAGTGCGAAACTACGAATTGTTATTGCAGCTCTTGTTGTTCTTTTTCTCTCCCCCCTCCTTCTCTCTCTCTCTCTCTCTCTCTCTTTCTGCCTTTCGTCTACCCCTCATTCCAAACAGATTTGAAACTATAATTAAGGCTCGGAATCCGCCACACCTGCGGGTTAATTATTTTTCACGCATTAAAACGTGTTTATCGCAGGCTGTTATCTATTTATTTTGATCTCGCAGTCGGCTAAGATA